GTGAATTCATGCACGAAAGAACGCAGGAACGCAGGAATTTCAATTGAAAATCGTTTTGAAGCACCGACCCCTCGCTAGGGACTATGCCATCGTTATTGAAGTCAATTGGTGTGTGTCAGCGGTGAGGGGGGTTTCGGCGTGGCGCAGGCCCCTTTCCCCTTTTCGTACTGAGCTGCCAAAGTCGAAACGATTGATGGAAGAAGGACTAGCGCCGTACTTAAAATACCGCTTATTGCATCGTTAGATGCGATAAGCGGTATATTAAGCACGTTATGTTATAGGTTTCCTATATTGGGGTGTTCCTGCGCGCGCGTCCGCTCTCCAGATAGAGACTTATGCCCAACGTTCCGAGTATGCCGCCGCGGGTCCCTCTCTGAAGGCCGCGTTCACACTTCACGGTTGGAGCGAAGCAGCTGCACGTTTTGGAATATCTCTCAATCACTGCTGACCTCTTTCCACAGGCGACTAGCGCGTTTTCTTGATATCGCGACTGAATCGTTCGAGTCGCAAAGCATGAACGCAACTACAGTTTTGAGGATCCTCAACTCAGAGCAAGGGGGTAAGTACGCGAACGTGGTCGAGATTGCCAGACGCTGCTAGGGTAGACCACCTCGTCAGCAAGTTCGAGCGTTTCCGATCCCATTCATCCATCCAAGCCAGCTTCTGCCCAGCGCTGTTCCTGGGCTGCATGAGCACTCATAGAGGCAAACGGTGAGGAGAGCAACGTCATGAATCTGGGGTCCACCCAGAAGGTGTCGTAGACGAATATGAAATAGAGGACCAATTCCATCCTTAGTAACCCCAAAGCGAAGGGAGGCACAAGAAGGGGACGTTGCAATTTCCAGAAAGTGTGTAATAGAGGGTATTAAAAATAACTTCAACACCCACTGCTTATGTTTTTTCTCCTAAACGGTCGTGAAGCTAATATTTCAGGAGATATCGGGTACTATGACGACGACGAAAACCTTTACCTCGTCGACAAATTCAAGGAAATGATAAAAGTACACGGTTATCAGGTCAGCGACACATTCATCGACTGTCAAACAGTCTCCAGACGTTGAGACACTTTACACGAGCGATGGCAAGTTTCTGGGGGGGGGTCTGAAAGTCATTGATTCCTTGAAACAGGCGCAGAATTGTGTAGGTTCGCTAAAGGAGGTTATTCGGTGTACAAGAAAGTACTGATGTGCTATTCGATGTGGTAACGGTCTGCTTCTCTAGCAGACATGATAAATCTCATACATTATTACCCTACAGCTAGGTGAGGAGGACACCCGCAAAGTGCGCCCTTAGTGCTTAGACTGAGATCCCTCCTCGCAGACTCACCCTGCTTGAGCCAGCTATACCTCTTATCTCATCAGGGTCTTACCTCGTTCACGAAGAGGGTGGCAGGACACACTATCACATTATGAAAAATTTCCTACAAAATTCGCCCCACCGCCTTCCCCAAGCATCCTCCTCTGGTAGGTACGATTCCCCCTATTCATCCTACTTACCGTCTTCCCATCTTTTCCTAACGTTTCGTTTTTGACTACCAGAAATAGTGGTTCCGCCGCGGTACTGTCTACGGGGTGTAACTAAGTGCGCATAAAATGGAAAAATCAGCAATCAGAAGAATCCTTTCTTCACGACAAAATGCGCCCCCCTCCGTCTTCAGCGGCCAAGAGGCCCCCGTTGGTTTACTCAGTGGACAGTGAACCCCATTAACAACATCGAATTTTGCATTGACTAGCTCAGTTCATTGTAAAGGTTAGATATGCGCATTTGAATGCTTTGGGAATTCCGTGTGAGCCGGGTGCGTGGCGTATTAAACTAAGGAGTATATTAATTTGTCTCTTTTTTTATTTCTCAACCTTTTGAGAAACTTGTTCTTACAATGGTAT